TCTACATTTCAGGGGACATAACGTTTCCAGTCTGTCTTGTCATCTGAATTTCCACTTTTTTTTAGTCTTACTTTTCTTGGAACATACATTCATTGCTTAGCATTATCCTTACACTGCAATTTACTGGTCATCCTTGGGTGGGCTAACATTTGTCTTCTAGTAATTTCCTTCAGATGAGCTTATGAGATAATATAACCTGATTTCCTCCATACTTAAAATGCTTTGCGGCATTTATATTTGAAAGGCAGCTTGGCTGGATATGAAATCCTTGACTCACCATTTCCTCAAATATCTTGTAGAAATAACTCCATTATCTTTGGCCTTGAATGTGATTACGGGGCAATCCAAGGTCACTGTGATATTTTCCTGCTTTTATGTGAACCCGGTAATTTTGCCACATTGCTAGTGACTTGAAAATTCAATCAATTTTCCTGGGATCCATTTCACTGTTGACCATTCTAGAATAATCTTCTGTGGCACAAGATAAGAGTTTTCAATGTGTAGATTTGAGTTTTCTGGCATCAAAACTTTGGATATGTTTCAGCATTACTAATTTCTTCTCTTCCAGTATTTGGTCTTTCTTCTCCAGGGGCTCCCACTGCAAACATTTCTTTACCCTGCGTTTCTTAGCCATAAAATCTCTCAATTTACTTACTTATTTTTAAGTTTATTTATATATTTCGAGAGAGAGGGAGAGCACAAGCAGGGGAAGGGCAGAGAGAAAGAGGGAGAATCCTAAGCAGGCCTTGCACTGTCTGCGTTGAGTCCGATGCCAGACTTGAACCCAGAAACGTGAGATCATGACCAGAGCTGAAATCAAGAGCCAGATGCTTAACTGACTGAGTCATCCATGTTCCCCTAAAATGTCCCTAGTTAAAAAAATACATTTTTAAAAAATTTGTTTGTTTCTTTTAGTTGTGTGTCTTACATCCATTTTCTATGTCCCTCGCTAGGTTTCATGTAGTTATCAATTTGACCTGTGCTTCCTCCAATTATGTCCTCGTTTGTGTGACGGCTGTTGTTTTCTTCCTTTCTTTCTTTCCACATTCTTCCAGTTTACGTTTCAGACCTTCTTGCTGTCTTGGCACCTTATCAATGAATTGTAACAATTCTTCAGTAGAGTGCTTTTTATGTGGGAATTGCCTTACGCTTTTGAAAATGATCGCAACACCTACATTCACGATTTTCATCTGCTTCCTGTCGCCATCGTTTTGGGAAGGTCTTCATTTGTTAATGGCTGTGAGACTCACCCAGCTTTATTCCTTAGATAGCTCTGCTAGATTGGCTCTTGGTATCACTCATTTTGGGTAAATTGGGTATTCTTGCCCAGTTGTTTGCAAGAGGGTCCTGTCTGTGGTGAGGACTAGGTGGCCTTAATGGCTACACCATTAAGAGCTCGGAGGCTCTTTTTCCCATGGCCAAGGACCAAGTGCTTCCTACAGATATGTGTCTTCTTCACGTAACGCTCCTCCTCTCTTTCCCTGGAAATAGATTCTGGGAGCAAGAGTGGCTTCAGATACCACCCACCTTAACATGCAGCTTGGCACCCACATAACACATTGTGCCCTCAGATTATGCCCTTGGACTTTAAGAAGTGCAGATTTGGGTCACCTGGGTGGCTCAGTCCATTGAGCGTCTGACTCTTGATTTTGGCCCAGATCATGATCTCACAGTTTGTGAGTTTGAGCCCCACATCGGGCTCCACGCTGACAGTGCAGAGCCTGCTTGGAATTCTTTCTCTCTCCCCTTCCCTTTCTCACTTTCTCAAAATAAACTAAAGAAAAAAAGTAAATAAATAAACATAAGTCCAGTTTTGATGGGACTTTCTGGAGCTACAGAGGGTGGGGTTTTCCCTCATTCATCACTTACCTACTTTTTTGTGTGATTTCTCCTTGACCTTGATTCTTTTTAGCAGCTGCTTCAAATACTTTCAAGCATTTGTCAAAAATGGAATGAACTTTTTTCTCTTCTTTTGTTGGTTTGGGACTGGTTTTCAGGAGTGCATTAGGAAAGGGGGAGGTACAGAGCTGCGTATCGCAATTTCTCCTTCCGTGCAATTCCTCCCTGGCGGCCTCCCTCGGTCAGGCACGTGCAGAGCGCCTGGGTGTTCTCTGGGATCCGGGGTAGGGGCAGTAAGATCTCTAAGTTGGGTTTACTCACTTTCCAGCCTCTCCTGACATTCTCCTTTACACAGATGCAGGGGTTCACGGGACACGCCCGTCCTAGCCCCAGACCCACTAGAATCCTCACTCAGCGTGACTTCTGGAATAACTCTGATGGAAATTTACTTAACATAACATTTGTGCCTGATGTGTCGCTGGAAGAACGGAGTTCAATAGCCCTTGATTCCAGTGCTTTTAAGTAAAACAGGATAAAGTTCATGAACAGATAGACTTTTTTCTACCCACTCCCATCCCCCCAGATAAGTTCTGCATTCATTGTTTTTAATTTTCCAGGTGATCCAAGCTTCATTTTTGTGACAAAATGGGTCACTCCGAGGGAAGAGATGTCATTTGTGGGATGTGCAGATGTATAGAGTACATGGCACTTTCTGCTAATAGAGTTTTACTTGCACTGGATACTATAAGAACAATGACTCAAAACCCCCAGCAAATCACAAAACTGAATAGCTTAGGAGTTGAGTGTATAGTGTTGCCGTATAGCCTACCAGCTAACCGATAATTTAGCTTTAAAATGTGGTTCACCAAGTGGATTGCTCATTATCGTCGTCTTAAGCAGAAAAATGAATAAAAACAAAGAAGTTTCCCCCACCTTCCCTTCTGTACTCATTCACAGTTTCATGAACAAATGTTTGGCTTGCACTGTGTGGCCGGCCTTGGCCAAGCAGAGGAAGTGCGGTGGGGGGCCCTCCCCAGTGGGCTTACCATCCAGTGTGAAGGGCAAGGGGTCCACGCTGGAGTTAACGCTCTGAAGGGGACGTCTGCGGTGGGAGGCGGGGGACCCTGGAAAGCTTTGCAGCTGGGACCCAGCCAGAAGGTTCTGTCTCCAGTCGGCATCTTTGCCGGCAACCTTGTCTACACTGCGGCAGCTCTGCTTTCCTCTGTCTACACTGCATTCAGTGGTCTTTTTTTAATTTTTTTTTTCTAATAGTTTATTGTCAAATTAGTTTCCACATAACACTCAGTGCTCATCCCCACAAGTGCCCTCCTCCATGCCCCTCCCCCCTCCCCCCACATCCATCAGTCCTCAGTTTTTGTCAGCATTTAAGAGTCTCTCATGGTTTGCCTCTCCCCCTTTCCCCCACCATTTCCGCCCTTCTTCTCCCCCTTGTTCCTCCGTCAAGTTCCTCCTAATCCTCCTATACATGCACACATATAGTAGCTGTCCTTCTCTGCCTGACTTATTTCACTCAGCCTAACACCCTCAAGGTCCATCCACATTGCTACAAATGGCCAGATTTCATTGTTTCTCATTGCCATGTAGTATTCCATGGTATAGATAAACCACATCTTCTTGATCCATTTGTCTGTTGATGGACTTCAGTGGTCTTTTTAAAAGCCACATACCTGATATGTCCCCTCTCTGTGTCCCTCTCCCTCTTCCAGACCCTTTTGTGGCATTCCTTTGTTCTTTGAGTAAATCAGCCCCCACCTGGACATACGGAGTCCTTGCATGATGCGGCCTCAGCTAACATGCCACCCCTGCGTCCTAATCCATACCCCTGAGACTTGCCCCGCTGCCCCTGTCTCTGGTCCACGCACCTGCTGCCCCTCTGCCTGGAGCCACGTTCCCTTCAATACCTCTGGGCCCTCTGTTCTGCACAGACACCTTGGCCAACTACCCTATTTGAGGTCTCCTTCCTTCCCGCTATTGCCGAAGCTGTTCTTCTGCGTACTTGACATGATGCTGTGTGTCTCCTTGTGCTGGCTTATGCTGAGTGCCCGCCCTCCAGTAGAATGCAGGATCCTTTATGACAGGACCTCTCTCTCTGGTTCGTCCACATATCACATGTCCACTAGAATGGCTTGCCCCTTTGGGTGGCCTCGGTGATGGGTCAAATAATAATATGTGGGCCTCTAGCCCAGAGGGTAAGGTGGGAAGAGGCAGTGAGCAGGGTTGGGGGGAGGATCCCACACTTAAAGGAGAAGTCACAGTGAAGGAGAGAGAGGAGATTGATGGAAAGCTGGGAATTGTTCGGGAAGCGAAGAAAGGGAGGGGAGGAGGGGCCTGTCGCTGGCGTCAGACACAGCTGAGAGGTCAAGAAGGAAAACAGGAGAAATTCCCATCATGTTGGAGCCTGGCTGTCATGGGTGTTCTCACAGGGGTCATGTCAAGTGTGTGTTAGAACGGGGAGCCTGGGGGCTCAGTTGCTTAAGCATCTTGATTTCAGCTCAGGTCATTATCTTACGGCTCATGATTTCAATCCATGCGTGGAGCTCTGTGCTGACCCTGTGGAGTCTGCTTAGGATTCTGTCTCCCTCTCTCTCTGCCCCTTCTGTGTTCTCTCTCTCTTCCTCTCTTTCTAAATAAAAAAGTAAACTTAAAAAAAAAAAAAAAACTACCAAAAGAAAGAGAGAGAGAAGAGCCGGTTCGAGTGGGTGGGAGGTGGGCATCGGGGAGAGAGGCAGGGAGACTTTCAAGGGTCAGTTTTCATGTATCATATAGGCGATAGTCTATGGTCAATGGATATCACTGGTTGGAGATAGACAATGGTCCCAACTCGCTGGGGGACATTGTAGTCATGAGGTAATGGCCACTTTCCTTCTTCCCATCTTCTCTACCGAGGAAGGTGTCAGAAGGGACAGGGGACAGTGGCTGCTCCAGGGACCTCCAACCCCTTGTGTGAGTTGCATGCATATTAAATCAGGATGCCAGCCAGCGGTCCTAAGTCACAAGCCTGTTGAAATGGCCCCACTAGATACTGTTCCTTAAAAGGGCTTATAGCTTCCCAGGCCAATGTAAAAGCATGCACACATGAGCCTGACTCTGGGTAGGACCCTCCACTTGCTCTGGATGCTGACGGCATTATTTCCTTGCAGATTCTTGAACAATGTCGGTTTCTTTTTCCCTCTGATCATGATGCTGACGTGGATGGTGTCTGTGGCCAGCATGGTCCGGAAGCTGGTGTACGAGCGAGAGATCCAGATAGAGGAGGTAATCAGTCCGAATGCTTGCCCGGGAATCCAGGAGGGGAGGCCGGGGCTTTGGAGCCAAATCCTGTTCCTGTAACTGGCCCCGCCCCCCCTCCCCCCCCCCTCTGCTGGGGCTCCTGGACACAGCCAGGCTGAGGCGAGGGGCCCAAAGGAAACATTTCACATTGAAGCCTGATGCCCGGCCAGACTGTATGGGTGTTTCTGGTGGATATGGAAGGAAGCCCAAGGTCAGGCTCGCCAGGTTCAAAGACAGAAGCCAGTGTTGTTCATTCAGCAATTTTTATACGACCCAGAAAGATGTGCGGGCTGACTTCCCCTCTTGGTGTGTGGTCAAAGTGCCCATGGGCAGCCTTGTTATTTTTGTTTTATTATCATTAAAACTTGTAACTGACAAAACTGCTTTTAAGAAGGAGTTCATGAAAGTACCAGGTGAGGCGCCTGGGTGACTCAGTCGGTTAAGTGTCTGACTTCGGCTCAGGTCATGATCTCACGGTTTGTGGGTCCGAGCCCCGCATCGGGCTCTGTGCTGACACTTAGCTCAGAGCCTGAAGCCTGCTTGGGATTCTGTGTCTCCCTCTCTCTCTGCCCCTTCCTCTTTTGCACTCAGTTTCTCTCTCTCTGAAAAATATATTTTAAAAAATGTTAACAAAAAATAAAGTACCAGGTGAAGGATGACCTCACGGAGGAAGGGCTCACGCTACTCACCGACTTCCTATTTATTAGGGTGAAGGAGAAACGTGGCAAAGTGCAGTCTTCTCATTCAGTTCTGACTGGAACTTGCACTATTGTTTCCCATGTTGCTCACCTATTTATTGTATTAATTTTTAAAATTTATTTTAATGTTTATTTATTTATTTTGAGAGAGAGGTAGAGAGTCAGCAGGGGAGGGGCAGAAAGAGAGAGAGAGAGGGAGAGAATCCCAAGGAGACTCCGCACTGTCAGCACAGAGCCCGATGTCCCGAAGCTGGGCTTGAACCCACGAACCATGAGATCGTGGCCTGAGCCAAAACCAAGAGTGGGACTCTTAACCGACTGAGCCACCCAGGCGCTCCTCTTCACCTATTTAAAACGGACTTACTTCTGACTTTCTGTGTTTCCTCCCCATCCAGTCAGGCCCTGGGCATGGGGTCTGGGGACTAAGTATCAGTCATGCCAGCTTGGTCTCATTCCACAAAGTAACCAGCCCCACGCTGCAGGGCACCCGATGTTGTAAGCTTATAGATGGAAACGGCGGGTTTAATGGATGCATTAATGTAGTTGTGATTACTTCAGACTTAGTTGTTTTGCAAAACACATTCTGATACTGACGTGATAGACCCCCCCCAACCCAAACAGCTTACGATCAAGTATTCATCCCCCCATCCATCGTCCTATTTGTCTTCGTTAAACCAAACCAACACAACCAAAATGAAAAAAAAAAAAAAAGATAGAAAATGAACAAAAAAAAGGAAAGGAAACATCCGAACGGACAAAGCAACGTGGCGTGACTGGTGTCGACCAAGCCCGTGTCTGGGGTCTGCTCCCACCCCCAGCCCCGCACGGCCCCACAGCCGCAACCCCCTCCATGAGCACTGGCCAGGATAGGACATGGGTGGCGGGGATGTGCGCTTGCATCTGACTTCCCAGCTGGCAGTACTCAGCGCTGGCCTGCCGTCCTCTCCCGCGATCGGGTCCGTTCCCCCTCAAGCGTCCGGGTCCTGACTCGGGTTTCCCTTCTCTTGGCAGTACATGCGGATGATGGGGGTGCACCCAACCGTCTTTTTCCTGGCCTGGTTCCTGGAGAACATGGCCATGCTAGCCGTCAGCAGCGCCGCCCTGGCCGTCATTCTGAAAGCGAGCGGCATTTTCACGCACAGTGATGCATGCATCATCTTCCTCTTCCTCCTGGATTTTGGGGTGTCGGTAGTCATGCTGAGTTACTTCTTGAGTGCGTTTTTCAGCCAGGCCAACACAGCTGCACTTTGTACCAGCCTCGTGTACTTGATCAGCTTCCTGCCCTACATCGTTCTGCTGGTTCTTCATAACCAATTGAGTATTGTCATTCAGACGTTTCTGGTAAGTGGTTGGTGTGCTTGTAGGCATGCAGAATATAACCGCTGTGATCTACCCAAAAAGCCGTCACCACATCACACCTCAGCTCATCACTTTTGGATCTCAGTGGGCTTTCTGATGTCTGCTTCTTTTTTTTCTTTTAAGTTTTATTCTGAGAAAGAGCAAGTGTGTAAGGAGGGCAGGGTCAGAGAGAGGGGAGAGAGAGAAGATCCCAAGCAGGCTCCACGCTCTGAGCTGTCAGTACACAGCCCCATGTGGGTCTTGAACCCATGAACCAGGAGATCATGACCTGAGCTGAAGTCAAGAGTGGGATACTCAACCGACGGAGCCCTCCAGGTGCCCCTGAAGCCTACTTCTCCTGATGCTGCCCACAGATGCAGACCTTATAATGTTCTTTGGTTGATGTTGCACTGGTTTTGCAAGAGGGGAGCCCATTAATAATTGGCACTTTTCATGTAGTGGGGACTGTCCTCTGGAGACTCTTCGGAAATCGGAAACATCCTAAAGGCACCCATAGAGACTCTCCGTCTCATGGGTGGAAAGATGTAGATTTCCAAAACTATTTTAGAAGCAAAAAAATAAGTATTTTTCATGAAGCATCAGGAATCATCTCACATTAAGTGGGGAGAGCTCCCCATTAGCAATGTCCGTCATTCATCCACTTATAGTGTACTTCCTGGAAAATATGAAATCCACAGAAGAGAGACACTCATCCATTCCTTCTTGAGAATCGCCTGGGCACATAGTGGTAACTCAATCCGCATGGAAGGGATGGGAAGATGGCTGTGAGGATGGGCATTGGGCAGTCCCTGCAAACATTTGAATTATGCCCGAGTGTTCATTAGGCCACGTTCCCAAAGTGCAGTCTGTTGGGAGGTGTGGCCAGTGCCACCAACGGAGAATTTGGGAGAGGCCGAGGAGGGTTGAATCTAAAGGCTCCAAGGGCATCTGAAGGCCTTCCGGGGTCACTTGTCCCACACGACATCAGTGGTGGTAGATGTATCCTCATTTGTTGGGACAGGGTCACTCTCTCTGCTCCTTTGGAGCGTCAGGGTGAAATACTGTGTGAAGGCCAAATTGTTTCCCTCCGGCTTCAGGAAACCTCCCCGCTTCCCGACTGACCATGTACATACAGCATGGGTGTGTGCACACATTGGAAAAAACATGGCGCCCTAAACCACGACTTTTCTCCATTGGAAGGTGCTCGCCACTTTCTATCAGCTTATGTCACACCTGTGGTAATTTATAACCCGTAATGTCGGGTTAGTGTTAATTAGGTGTTTCCAGAAAAATTAAATGAAAACTGGGACCATTTATCGCCCCCTCTTCTCCAACCCCATACTTCCCACATTTTGGAAAAGACCATTGACCACTCGGCCTGGATTTCAAACACTGTTATATGGTGTTTACTTCAGTCTCTCTGTCTAAATGTTCTAGCATATCTAGCTTGATTTCCTTTTTTACATGTTCACATGTTTTCTACTCCCCAAAAATGTATATATATCTAACTCTGGTACATGATATTTTTAAGTTTAAAATGCTCTTTCGATGGGCTTATTTTTTTTCTTTCTGACATAGGACTCCTCCCCTGGAGATAAACTAATATTTCCCGTCAGCGTTCCCTCTTTCTAGTGTAGAATGGTGTCCACGTTCCCTCAGTCTGCCTGCGGAGTGCTCCAGGGCGTTCGCTTAGTCATAAAAAATAAGAAATTGCTGTGTTCCGTTTTCCCCCGTCCTGTGTTCTGCATTTCTGTGTGCAGGGCGGTGGATTTATGGTACTTGAAACACCCCAGCAAAGAGAAATAATTCCTTTTCACACGAAAAGCTAGCTTGTTAGTCTACTTTCTAGAATGGACTGACATTCGGCGCCGTCTCCCAGGGTTGGGCATTGAAATCGCCGCCTGGAGAGATGGTTCAGGGGAACGTGCGTGGCTCCTCTAGAATTGAGCGCTGAGGCTTTTCCGGGGTCTCCGTCAAGTGCTAACATGCTGTTTCTCTCTTCACTGTCCCCGGGCAGTGCCTGCTCTCCACCACCGCCTTCGGCCAAGGAGTATTTTTCGTTACCTTCCTAGAAGGGCAAGAAGCAGGTAAGGGGATGCCTTTTTTTTTTTTTTTTTAAGTGTATTTATTTACTTTGAGAGAGAGAGAGTGAGTGAGCACGGAGGGGCAGAGAGAGAGGAGAGAGAGAATCCCAAGCAGGCTCCAGCTGTCAGCTCAGAGCCCGACATGGGGCTTGAATTCACGAACCATGAGATGGTGACCTGAGCTGACACCAACAGTCAGATGCTTAACCGGCTGAGACCCCCCAGGTGCCCCAAGGGGAGGTTTTTTTGTTAAAAAAGCGATTCAGTGATTTGGGGTTTTAAGAGTTTGCAGTGGCTTTTTGCAAGCACCACTGAAGAAGGTCTTCCGTACAACGTGCAACGGAGTCCCTGGGTTTGATTTAGCTGATGTGAACGCCTCTCACTGTCCGGTCGCCCAGGATCTGTGTATTTTGTTGAGGCCACAAAACCAGAAATAAGTAGCATGAAAGCAAAATCGCAAAGGCTGGATCTTAACATGTTAAAGCCACGCCCCCTGGTCACCTTGAAATACACGCAAGAGTAAGCAGGCCGACACTGGATTTGTAGAGCAGTAATTCACAGGACAGTCTTTGGTCTCAGCTGTGCTCAGCTTTGCTTTGAATTTCCGGATCTCAAGAACTCACCCCACCAAAATCCACCCTGAAAGGGTGTCCGGATTTGACTGATCTTCCCTTCTTTCCAGGGGTTCAGTGGAATAACATGTACCAGCCTCTGGAACAGACGGGCGCGACATTTGGCTGGGTTTGCTGGATGATTCTCTTCGATTCAGGCCTTTATTTTGTATGTGGATGGTACTTGAACAACTTGATTCCTGGTAAGAATTCTGCACGTTGGAAGATGCCAAATTAAGCTAAAAAAAAAAAAAAAGGGAAAAAAAAAAAGGCAAAGCCAGTTTAAATCAATATACGTGAATATTAGAATAATTCTTTTTTTTTTTAGTGTTTAATTTTGAGAGACAGCGCGCCAGCGGGACAGGGGCGGGGGAGGGGAAGATAGAGCTCGACTGCGGTTCTGTGCTTTCCGTTGCAAAGTTGTTTGATCGGCAAAGTGTCACTGTCCTTGTCTGCAGTGAGAAGAAAGCAGATGTTTATCATTCCTGTTTCATAAAGAGGAAGTGAAGGGTCCGAGGACAAAGAGAGAGGGACGCAGAATCCGAAGCAGGCTCCAGGCTCTGTGCTGTCAGCACAGAGCCCCTCAGCTGAGGCCCTTCCCCAGTGGAGAGCCTGTGTGGGAGTCTAGGGGTAGCCCAGACACTATCCGTTTTGGGGCTCAAACTGACAAACTGTGAGATCATGACCTGAGCTGAAGTTGGACGCTTAACTGACTGAGCCACCCAGGCGTCCCTAGAACAATTGTTCATTCTTTAAGTAAGACCTCAGAAAGGGAGTTTGTAAGCTGTATTTTCAGTTTTTTTTTTTTTTTTAATGTTTATTTATTTTGAGAAAGAGAAAGCATGCTCAGGGAAGGACAAGAAGAAGACAGGGAGAGAGAATCCCAAGCAGGCTCCACACTGTCAGCACAGAGCCCCATGCAGGGCTTGATCCCATTAAGGGTGAGATCATGACCTCAGCCGAGATCAAGAGGCAGGCGCTTAACCGCCTAAGCCATCCAGGTGCCCTGTGGCAGGTGCACCCTGGCGGCCATTAGGAGACGGGCCACTGATAGTCGTGGTTCCCTCTGCTGTGTTAGTGGGGAAGAGCCATTTATACCACACGCCTGCTCAGGCTGAAAAGAGCAGAAACAGCTTTTAAGGTTTTTTTTCTTTATATTTTTAGCAATAATGTTTTGATGATTGCTGAGATTGCTTGTGACTCTCTCTATACTTTCCCGAAGCACCTGGGTATTTTGCTTGGCATCTAACCTTTAAAGTTAAGAACTAAAGGAGACAGAGATAGAGACAGAGACAGAGACATGGAGGGGGAGAGATTCTAATCATCTGCACATTGAATATGAAGGGACAGAAAAAGCCATCAGTGCATTCTGTTGACCAAAACGTATTTCAGACTTGGGGAGCTCATGCGTCGTTTAAGGATGAGTAAAAATCCAAATGAAATGTGCCATTGGCAAGATCGTTTTACAGAAAAGCAGGAAAACATGGCGTCCAAGAATTAGAGAGAGCGCATCAACCTGGAAAGTGCTTAATTTTGAACTTTTAGATTGCTTTGTCTGAGGGCATTGAATAAAATTAAAGCAAAGGTGGATTCCAGGAAATAAGAAGTTAAACAAAATAACTGAAGAATGCCAAGATGAGATAAAATTGATGGAGAAGTCCTGGATATTAGAAGGCAGTTAGGGAGCGTGAGGGAGGGAGGTTATATAGCACGTATGTGATATCGACTGTGAAATGTTTGAGGAAGGGGTCACAGGCAAAGGAATGCGGCGGGAAGTCACAGCTGGGATTGGAGGGTGACAGGGAGCTCCTGCATTCAGGATTGTTGCAGACAGGCAGCCGGAAGGGGACGGACAGACGGGTGTCACAGACGTGTGCTCTCCCTGACGAGGGCATGCGCAGACCCCAGTGAAACACGATAAAGAGGGAACGGGAAGAAGACAGTCAGGTTCTGCAAAGTAAGCGTTCACCATATCGAGTGCAAAAGTGATGAAAAGAAACATCCATGGTCTTGGAGTCCACGGACTCAAACCCAGCAAAGACAGGTTACTCTGGGCAGCCCAGGGATCCGCATAAAATTTGGCCAGAAATCCAGAAGGATGTTTCCTCCTCCTCCTTCAGGACCTAACGCTTGGGGATCGGGGAGGGGAACGTCATCCTGTATTGAAATGAAGGCGTCTGCAGTGAGCAAACCCCTGGTCCTGCTCGCTTCTGCAGGCACAGTGAGCCTCAGAGAGAGACAGAGGGGGAGATAGAGATAGAGATCCAGACGGGAGGCCGGGCTCTGGTGCATTTCTGCAGCTTTTGCGAGCACGGCTGAGTCAATTCAGAAATGGGGAGATGTGGACAGAGAATGGCTTTGGGTTTGACAGTGATGATTGTGTTGGTCATTATTTGGGGCGGGTGCAAAGCTGGTATGTGCTGGTGACAGTGCTCCAATCCCAAGGGAGCCCTGACGCTGTAGTACAAGCAGGGAGGTGGCTGGGGTGGCGTCCGTGTGGGTGAGCAGAGGCCCCAAGTGTGTGCAGAGGATGTTCCTCCAGGGCACAGAGAACGTCTGTCACAGGTGCCGGCTGTGAGGCTGTGGCTGTGGGGCCAGGGAGGTGCTCTCACGTTTGCAGTGTCTTCTCAGGGCCATCAGGGTGTTGTGGTCCCACGGAAGGTGTGGCGGGGAGGAGATGGGGGACCAGAGAGGGAGGGCGGGCCAGTGTGCCCGGTACCGCCATCACCATCCCCTGCAGGTGCTTGTCACGGGCGGGAATTAGATGTGAAGGTGAAAGTCCCAGCCCCAGGGGAAGGGAACAAAACAGAACAAGACAGAGATGACAAAAACGGGTGACAGACCACCACTGTTGGTGGGTCACACACAAGGATCCATTGCAGAAAGCTGTGACCAATCAGATGACGGGTCGCGACCACAGAACCGTGGAAACCTCTAGCTTAGCTGTGTGTCAGCATGAAGAGCGGAGTATAATGTGACAAGATTGCATTCTCAAAAGCAGTAAAATATCTCCGTGTAAATCTAATATAGAAGAAAGTATATGTCAAATAAGAAAGGAAAAGGTTTGGCGAACATAAAGTAGATTTGAATAAATGGAAAGATCCCAAGTTCCCTAATGTGGTGATTTACCATTTTAAGTGTGTTGACTTTCTCCAAATTAATGCATGACTTTATATAATTTATACCATTTAATATTAAGCATAGGGTTAATACAGTAAAACCCACATAAATCATTTAAATAAAAAATACTAAAAAAGAAACTTGGTTTTAATTGGTGAAATGTTTCTAAAGGATAGCTGAAAATGTAAATTAATGACTGTGGTCAAAATCATAAAAAATAATGAAGGGACGGGTGACTGATGATTATATAGAATGTCACTGTGAATTGTCAAGGATTAAAATGGTGGAATATGGGGACACCTCTGGGGCTCAGTCGGTTAAGTGTCTGACTTAATTTTGGCTCAGGTCATGATTTCAAGGTCATTGGATTGAGCCCTACTAAGCATGGAGCCTGCTTGGGATTCTGTCCCTCATTCCCACTCATGTACATCATTTCTCTCTCTCTCTCTCTCTCTCTCTCTCTCTCTCTCTCTCTGTCAAAATAAGTAAATAAACTTAAAAAATAACAAAATAAAATTGTGGAGTACTCACGTAATAACAGAGCAATGGAACAGATTAGAAAGTTTGGTAACCAACTCACTGTCAATCATAGTTCAATTTGTGATAAAGTTCACATTTTTAATCCACGAGAAAGATGCAGGCTAGACTCATTCATAAATTCATCAGAAATAAATATGATTAAAATAATGAGGAAAACTAATCAATACGTGAAAGAAAATGTTAAAATTCTCAAGTCAAATTTTAGAAAGGCGAATACGAGAAAACGACTTGAACAAACCGTTATAAAAAGAAAAGTTTATACTTGATAAACAGAAAATAGTTTAATGTCGCACAGACATAGGGTTGCACAGACAAAGAAGACCGTTTTCTCCTTCTCTGACTGCTAAAAACTGTAATGACTTGGGGAGGAATAGGGGCTTGTTTTTTTTCTTTTCTGCGCAGGTGTTTAATTTATGGGAAAGGGAAATAATTTAATTATGCAACTCAGGACCTCGGGGTTGTGAGTTCGAGCCCCATGTGGGGTGCAGAGTTTACTTAAAATCTGTACAAAAAGCGTTTATTCTCTTTGCCGCAGAGATTCAGAGAAATGGCCAAATAAACTCAAAACAGATGTGCGCACAGATGTTCCTGGCACATTATCTTTGAAAGCAAAATTCTGGTAAACCTACAATTTCTATCTAGGATAGTGGTTTGATTACGAATCAACTTTACATTTATAATACGGACTTCTGTGAGCTAGTTACACATCTATTACATTATGTTTTGCAGGAATATACGTGGATGTGGGATACAGGAGATCATTGGCTGCTGTGTACCAAACTGTCTGTGAAATAAGGGATAAAATATAACAATATTCAGTTAAAAAATTTTTTTAATTTTCATTCCACTATAGTAAACACACAGTGTTCTATTAGTTTCCGATAGACAATACAGTGACTCAGCACGTCCATACGTCACCTGGTGCTCATCACGACAGGTGCACCCTTCACCCCCATCCCCTGTTTCCCCCGCCCACCTCCCCTCCGGTGACCATCAGTGTGTTCTCTGTGGTTGTCTAGTGCTTTGATTTGTGTCTCTTTTTTTGTTTGTTTGTTTGTTTCTTGTATTCTGCTTATGAGTGAAATAATTTGGTATTTATCTATCCCTGACTGGGTTTATTTCACTTAGTGTTCTGTTCTCTGGTTACATCCATGTCTTTGCACAGGGCAAGGTTTCATTCTTTTTATGGTTGAGTAATATTCCACTGTGTACAAATACCACATACCCTTTATCCATTCATCAGCTGATGGATACTAGGGCTGTGTCCATAGTTTGGCTTTTGTAAATGTACTGTGGGGTGCCTGGGGGGGCTCAGTCGGTTAAGCACCTGACTTTGGCTCAGGGCATGATCTCGCAATTCATGAGCTGGAGCCCCACATAGGGCTCTGTGCTGACAGCTCGGAGCCTGGAGCCTGCTTTGGATTCTGTGTCTCCCTCTCTCTCTGACCCTCCTCCGCTCGTGCTCTGTTTCTCTCTCTCTCTCTCTCAGAAATAAACATTAAAATTTTTTAATTAAAAAATGCTGCTATAATCATAGGGGTGC